TATTAAAGAAAATCATGCCTCATTTTGAACTTTATGTCCTTGATGAGTACGTTAGGGCAAAAAGTATTTGCATACATTTACTGGTTGTTTGCATTTTTTCTTCTTTGAGTTGCCCGTTGATATATATATAGATATATATTTTTGCCTAGTTTTCGATTCTTTTATTCCTCTTTTTCTCAACATTAGGAAGTCTTAATATATTAATTATATCAACATTTTGTCACACTTGTGGCACATATTTCCTCTTGGCCTACTCCAGACTTTTTTATGCTGAATTAGTCCTTGCTGTTATTGTTGGTGTTCACACGGCCAACGGCGCCGACCATTCATGTATGTCTTCTGCATTTCCCAAAAGCCTTTTGAGAAGGTTCTCAAAAGCCTTCTCCACCTCGAGTTCATCTGAATATTTTCCCAGTGTTTTTCCTAATGTGTCTATAGTTTTCTTTTTACAGTTACCTGCTCTCCCTCTGAGGTTTATTTCTGAATATATTGTGAGTTAAGGGCCTTAATTTTCTTCCAGATCGTTAGGCAGCTATGCTGACACCATTCCAACCACCGCTTTGTGCTGAACTGAAGTACTTAACATGAACTGGGCTCCTATATATATCTGGATCTGTTCTGAATCTTCAATAATGTCCTAGAGAGATCATTCTTTCTATTTAGGGCCCACTTGGCACCACTATAATTAGTGTGTTTGGTAAGGTCAACTATTTCTATAAAAATTTTCCCTGCAATTCTCATATATTTAATAATGCTTCCATATGATCAATCTTGAAAGTAGTTTGATCCAGTTCGCCAAAGAAATAATCAGCCCCAGAATTCTGATTACAACAGCCTACATTTTATATTAAATTGGGGGAGAGTGATATTGTTATGATATCAAGCTTTCCTACACAGGACCATGGCATCCTGTCCTTTATTCCGAATTCTTTAATGTACTTTAATAAAATATTATAGTTTTCATCAGACAAGTCTGGTTGTCTCAGTATATTTACTCCTCCTGACTTCATTTTGCCACTGCTCTAAAGCCAGTAGCCTGGGAAGATTTTCAGACCATGCCAGGATAAAAAATCATGACCCAACCCAGCCATATAACAAAGCAGTATCTGGAGTGGGGAGAGTGGCTGGAACTTCTGCTCCTTTCCATTTCCCCTTAGAAATAGTCAGAAAACTCCTAGGTAAGCTTTAGGAAGCAAACCAATCAAGCAATACAGCCTAGGCCTCGACCCAATTGCCTGCTTACTTATCACTTTCACAAACTAGATTATCCAGCCAATCTACCCAACTCTCCTTCACGCACCTATTTGGCTCCACCCCTTCGGACCCGGCGGCACACTTCAGACTGATACCTCCCTTGATCCTTTCTGTCAATGGATCCTCCCTTAGCTACTCTTCATTACTTGACCGCCCATCTTTACCTAAATCAGTCTCCATCTACTAAACAGAACCAGT